GCACTATTTGTTTTAGAAAAAATCAAGTTTGAAGAAATATAAAAAAATTATTTATGTATAATTATATATAAAATTATGTATGAGTAATTTTTTTTACATTTTTCCAAACTTGTTTTTTTTCTAAAACAAATAATGCGAAAATTATCCTTTTAATTATTTTTTATGTTTTCACATTATTATTATTATTTCTATTACACTAAAAAGTAATTTTATAAAAGAAAGAAGGATGAACATGTATAGACATATTTCATATACATATAATTATACATGTTTATGAATATTTATGCATTTATGTATGTTTATACATTTATATATATTCATGAAAAATTTTTTATCGAGAACAATATATTATAATATGTAAATTAATAATATAATATTACTTGTTAGAAGACGATATTTGTATTTTGATCCAAGAGAAAATAAACAGGTTTAAATATATAGATTTCTTAAAATACATTCATTTTTCTGTTTCATTTATTGTATGTATTGTATATATTTGATATAGATGATATATATAGATTATACATGTATATTCTAATTAATAAAAAATAATGTAACACTAAAATTACACTTGTTTCAGTGACTTACGGCCAAAATCATTCTCGTCTAAAGTGCAGATGCCAAAATGTGATATTGCTAAACCATAAGTTTTTATATTTACATTATATATACATATTTTTTATCTTTACAGAATAAGATTTAATTAAAATATATGTTTAGAATACAATAGTTTTAGAATTTAGAAAGATCTGTTTACTAGTCTTATGAGTTTGACTTTGAATGGTATTACATCAAGTCAAGATCACATTAATTTTTTAAAATAGAAATCTCTATTTTTCATTGCATATTCTTGTAGCTTATTTTGAAAAATGCTATAACAAAATATTTTTTTATTAAGTACTTTTTTATTAAGTACTTTTTGAGTTATAAGTTTATAACTGCCTGTATTAGCATTATCTAAAGCATTCGACTGATGGTTAAAACTTTTTAAATATGTTCATAATTTTGATATCATATATCAAAATCACCGACGAGATACTATTAAAGACCGACATCCTTAAGCCCGAAGCTAGAAATCCTGAGATCCGAGATTTCGGACAGAAAAAAAATTAACAAATTATTTGAACAATTTGATCACATGACCATTGCGATTAATCAATTCTTTCTTCATCCGAAGTCTCGGGCCGATTTCTAGCATCCTGAACACAAGCTAAACTTTATAGGAGATCGCGTCCTTGTGAATATTTAAGTGATTAAGAATTCAAAATTGATAATATTGTACTAATTTTATGATTTATTAATTTAATAAACATATTTATGCTTTTATAATTTAATACTCGATTTTTCTTCAAAATTGTGATTTCAGTGTTATTGTCAAAATTTGACTACAAACAGTTTGGCGTGCAATTGTAAGATTGGATATGTACGTAAAATCACCGAAATTTTATTTAAGCACAAGGCGCAGCATAGAAGACATTTTCGTTATTGGATTGTGAATTTAAACTACACTAATATAAAAATAATTAATATTAATAAATATTTTAATAATATTTCAGGGATGTTAAAGGAAATATAATAAAAATATTTATATAAGCGAATATATACCATCCATAAAAACTTAAACTTTATAACATTAAAAAATATATAATATTCTCAAAATGTTATAATAATTTATTTTAATTTTTTAATAATATTTACCCAAACAGAACAACGAGTCATGATAACGTCAAGATGACATTAAAATAAAAAAATAAAAAATCGGAAATGATTGAAAAATGATTTTTAACGATTTTCACGATCATTTTGGAATCATTTTGATATTATATGATTAGTTATTCTGCTTGGATATATAATATTATAGAAATATTTTGCGCCTGTAGGGCTTATGCATTATGCACTATACGTCATGCAAGAATCTGCGGCCATAAGGATGTATCTACACAACTTGCATAGTTGCATATACTTATGCATAAAAAAAATTATTCAATCACATTTTACGTGCGTCTTCATCAAAGAAATATGATTGATAACTTTCTTTATTCTTATGTAGCAGCTATGCAAGTTTGTATGGATATACCTTAAGTGAGGTGCACAGATCTCTTGCATAACTCATAACACGTAATGCATAAGAAAATATACCAATCGAAATTAATTTCTTTTCTTTCTATGAAATAAAAAATTCTGATTGGTTCAATTTCTTATGTCTTATATGTTATGTGTTATGCAAGAGTAGTCTCTGCTCCTTGTTTTATAACTCAAAAAATATATTTAATGATGTAATGTTTTGTTATAATATTTTGAAAAACTCTCGAAATAAGCTACAAAAATATATAATGAAAAACGAGGTTTTCATTAAAAAATCTATTTGATCTTGATCTGACTTTGGCGATCAAAAATTTCACCCGAAATCAAATTAATAGGATTAATAAATAGACGTAACCCTAAAATTATTGTCTGAACATATTTTTGATTGGACTTTATCCTGCGAAGAAAAGGAGTGTACGGGTTTGAGACATCCTATATATTGGGAGTACAAATTAGTTCAGTTTTTTTGTGTTCAAAAATGCATTTATTTAAAAACAAAATGACTGAACAGATCAATTAAAGTATTATCTATCGCTGCCTATTACTTTTTCCCCATCTCTCAGGCAATTTTCGAATTCCATCTCGAAAAAATGACTCGTCTTTGAAGGCGATTCAATTTTGGAGCCAATTTTCGATTTTTGCGAAAGAAGTGAACCGGTGACTTGCCAAATCATGCTGCGTCCTTCGGGACAATCAGTAATCAGGAGCAATATCTGGAGAATATGGCGGGAGAATATGGTGCGGTAAAACATCCTATTTGAGCGTTTCCAAATATTTTTTTACTTTAGCGACATGAGGCCGAACGTTGTCTTTGCTCGTATTCCGGTCGTTTTTCGCAATGCACGGCTCAAACGAATCAATTGTAGCTGATACCGATCGCCCGTAATGGAATCGCCAGGTTTCAGCAGCTCATAGTAAACAAGACTCTTTTGGTCCCCCAGATACAGAGCATGATCTTCGAACCATGAATGTTTAATTCATATAATAATAATGTGTTGATGTTGAGGTCGATGGCAACGATTTATCGGGCTTAGCGTGGTATTTTTTCTTCTTGGGGTTGTCGTAGAATATCCACTTCTCATCTCCAATCACAATCCGATGCAAAAAACTTTTTCTCTGTTGTCTTTGAATCAGTTGTTCGCAAGTGAAAAATCGCCTTTCAACGTCTCTCGGTTTCAGTTTATAAAGCACCCAATTTCCTTGTTTTTGAATCATTCCCATCGCTCTCAATCGTACAGAAACGGCTTGTTGAGTTACCCCCAATGATTCTGCAAATTCCTCTTGCGTTTAGCTCTGATCTTCTTCGAGTAATGCCTCTAATCTTTGTCTTCGAATTTTTTTGGCTGTCCAGAGCGAAGCTTGTCTTCAACGCTGAAATCTCCATCCTTGAAACGTCGAAACCATTCCCTACATTATTTAAAATGTTGGAGCAGTGTCACCATAAATTTCGACAAGCATTCATGGGTTTCAGTGGGCTTCAGCCGCACTTTTCTTCCAATTAAAGTAGAAAATCAAAACCTCCCGCAAATACTGCTTGGTTAACACAAAATTCGACATTTCAAACACAGTAAAAATCAAGGTTTTTGTATGAAATTAAAAGCGATATAAACTGAATATTATTAGCAGATGTTTAATCTCTCTGAAACCGGCAAAATCAGCTATCACTATTCACAATAGCTGGAGCCATCTTTAGGGAAACGAACCGAACTAATTTGTACTCCCAATAATAAATAAATAAATTTCCCATATTTATAGAGGAAAGGCCCCTATTATAAGGTACCGATCATTTGGGATAAATGCTAGAAGACTATGGGCAGAATTTTAAAAAATAATAGATCATTTTGAAGGGAATTTAATAAGCTTTAACATAACGCTTTAAGATAGAATTATATAAAATTTAAATCAAATGTCATTTTTTTTTTTTGAAAATTAAAGGAATGTAAAATGTGAACAAATCACAAAGTCAAAAAATTGTGCTCCTAATATGAGATGCCTCGAAAAATCGATAATAAAACACAAAGTATATCAGTATTGCATTTAAAAAATTTTATTTCATGTTTCTAAAATGCAATCAAACAACCAGCGTGCGTGAAAAATGAGCATGCTGCGATAAATTATAGAACTTGTTTTCAGATAATTGGAATCAAGCAGAAATAGGCACTCGAAATTCATTTCGGTTGTCCTTTTTATTATTGTACATTTATTTTATTATTGTAACATTTAGCAATGATTTTTACTATAATATAAGAGCATGGGTTATTTCATAGGTTAGAAATATCCTGGGTATCTCATATTATGATTTTCACGCCTTAAGATTTTATGATTATCAAATCTAATTTCTGTAATTAAACAATTCAATATATCCCGTATTTTTCTATTCTAGTACGATTTCACTCTATCACTACATGAAGAATTTATTGCGAAATATTTATTTATTAATTAATAAACAAGATTTAAAAACTCATCTCAATAAAATTTGAAGATTTCCAAATTCTAAAATCTTTTTTTATAACGACTACAAGCATGATCTAATAATGAATTTTCTACTAAATAATTTTCAATCCAAGAGCAATAAATTCATTGTGGAACCAATAGCGTTATTAGTTTAGCAGAAACGCCGCTGTCTCATATTAGGCCCTCATCTTACAATAGGCTTTTTCTCTATATATTTTTGTATATTTTAATTTTATTATTTTCTACAGTTGTAATTATAATACTTTATCTTCTTTTTCTAATACTTTATCTAATTTGATCCGTATTTTATTACATATTTTGATATATATTTTGTGTAGGAGCACATCCAGTAGCAGTGCATGCGGAAAGAAAAGAAATAAAAATTTGGAGCAACGAATTTCAAAATTAAAAGTGAAACTAAAAACAAAAGACGAAAAAATAAAATGTTCAAGAAAAAAAGTAGAATCAGAAAGTAAGAAACTTAAAAATTACGAAATTCTAAGTTTAATTCAATTAGGCTGTAAATTTTTTTTCTCCAAATTTTGCACAATTGTTTTTCGTCCAAATTGCTACTCACATTAGATGATCGAGGAAATCAATATAGTTTGGAATTCAAACAATTCGCTTTATGCTTGTACTTGTTAATTCCTTGAAAAAATTTTCAATTTATTATCTGTGAAGTTAAATACATTGCCATTATTAGAATGTCACTGCATTTTATGCATAAATAAAATGAATCTCAAAAGTCATTTTATAATATTTCCAAAGATGAAATAATTGGATTTGAAGATACCGGTAATGAGAAACTACCATTATTATCTGCAAAAAGTTCTTTAGTTATTATGGCACGTAGCATTGCAGGTAATTAAAAATTTCCTATTTGCTTTTGTTTTGTCAAAACTATATGTAAATCTAATATACTGAAACTTATTCTATTTGTTATCCGTATGCTACGAGATTACAATGTATAGTACACGCTTTAATTTCGAACATGGATTCTAATTGTATGCAACTCTCCCGAGACTAAGATATTTCTGTACAGAATTCAAAATTTTTAGTTGACGGGCACGAAGTACTATATATATATTCGATACTCCTCACTTAATGAAGAAAACTCGCGATAATTTGTTGAAATATGATATAGAATTTGGAAATAAAGTTACTTCATGAATTCAGAATATTACTAACAATTGCCAACCAATCATTAATTTTTTATGTAATAGGTTCTTTCAATAGTTGTGTAACCGTTTTATGATTATCTGTTAAGATAGGACCATTCCTCTAGATTTTAAAGTATAATCCAATCAGCGCAAAGGAAAGCAGTTGCGAAATAAACGTTCCGCTGAACGCAGCGTTTATTTTTCCGTGTTTTAAATAACATGTAACAGATCTAATATCGTTGCGATTAAGGATATAGTGAATTAGTCGCGAATAACCAGATTTTTTCTCAAACAAATACAAAAAGAAATGAAAAAGGTGAATTTAAAGATTTTTTTATAGTAAAAGAAGAATATTTCAAATCGAAGATTAAATAATATCGATCAATTAAAATAAAACGAATTGATTATTAGTTCTCTTGCGTTTATATTTTGTAATTTTGGTTATCATTGCAAATAAAAAAAGATTAAGTTATAAGTTGCACGAATATAATCTCCTTATATTATTTCCTGTCGAGAAATAAATGTATTATGTTTGTCTATGGCCGGTGAATTACATTCATCAGCATCTTTGCTTTCTTTCTTTTCAGCCAAATATATATCTATTTCATTTTAAGTGTAAAAAAATGTAAAAAAGTAAGCAAGTCGAACAGATTATTAAAGACTAACTATTAAAGATTAACTATTAAAAACCAACTATTAAAGACCGTCGTCTCTAAACAAATTTTCGTGATCAATGGGGCCCAGGAAGCTAATTGAAGAACAATGCATAAGAACATAACCGACAATTAATAAAAATTTATGATTATACACACATACATATAAACATAAATATTTCGATAATTTATTAAATTCGTGATTTTTTTTGTTATATAAATGCTTTATAAAGTACGCATACTTTTAATGCTATAATATCTTATATATTACCGAAAAATTACAATTTTTTCTCTGCAGTCATCTCCCCAATCAGAAATGATGTCGTCGAATGAAATCGTCATTGAATCGACCTCGATGTTTTCGACGTCGTTCGATGTCGATTCCATTATTATTTCTGTTTGGGATTATTGATAATCAAACTTGGATGATAACATTAAAATAACAGTTTTAAATAAAAATCAAGTATTATTAAGTTTTAAATATATATATATATATA